GGCACCCTGCTGAAAACGGACTGGTTGGCATTTCTCATCCGCTCAGCTGCGTGTAGAATAAAAGAAGTTTGGAAGTTTGGCACCTTGCTGTGACTGCTTCAGTAGTCTTTATTTCATGCTAAGAGACCCCCCCTTACTCCCCCAGTTCCCCCCAATCCAGTTAATTCCAGTTCAGGACCAACTGCTTCTTCAGACAGCAGTCATGTGGGTACCGGTTATGCTAATTGTCACGCGCCCATGAACCCAAACGCTAGTTCCTAAAATCTAGAAAACTTCAGATTAGATTGAATGGCTGCAAGACACATAAATTGCAGCAGGATAGACCAGTTGCAGCTTCAGACTTGTTCTTTACGTAGTAGTGTATTCATCAACCACTCTGTTCTTGACTGTTTCACTTGGGGTTTCATCAACAACCTTGGTTTTTCCCCTCTTCCCTACCTGAAAATGCTACAAGATAAAAAAAACCCCTGGACTTTTCATACAGAAAGAAGGAGGTACTTGTGTACTTGGAATATTTTTAAATAAAAACTGAGATGCTGCCTATAACTTTTTTTTGTTGTTGTATTTGCCTTGGGGAGTAAGATTCCCATTGCCCAGTTTGAAGTACCATTTGTTACCAAAGCCCAAGATCACTGACTTGAATAGGACATATTAAGAGAGAAATGGAAAAATTTCACTATGCTTTAAACTACTGCTTTCCTTTGAGTGCCTTGACTAAGTATATGAGGTATAAAAAAACCTGATAAAGTGAATGTTTCCTAACTATTGGAGGTGGTTTATTAACTTCGGTTTTGAAAGTAAAGACTCATGCCCCATATATTCTTGGGGCATCTGTTGCCCCAAGAAGTGAGGCGAATATTCTTCACTGGCATGCTAAGCGTGCAGACAGAATTGGGTAAGTTTTAATGTATTATACTGAAATTGAAGCAGGCCAGAGCCTGAAGGGAAGTCCTGTTCCGTTGGGTCTGTGAACTGTGATCTGTGGCTCGTGAACCCTTTGACCAAAGTGGTATCTGTGGAGACAGCACAACTACTCAGAGTTTCCACACTAGAAGAGGGATTGCAAAGAGGCATGAACCTTGTGTTTCACATAACGCTTGTTTTCAGAGATCTTTTTAAATAATAGTTCTTTCCATTAAAATAATATGCCAGTAACACAAACATGAATACTGAAGTACCAGATCTGGGTAAGGCTGTATGAAAAATTGCATTGCGATGTAATTTCTGGTGGCCAGTGCGATACAGCTTCTTTGGCTAGAACTTCAAAAAGTGACTTGCTTTAGCTAAGACCACAGCGCTCTGGCACACTAAGACAAAAGGTTTTCTGTGTAGGATTGAAACTTGGTATGTAATATGTTAGGCTTTTGTGCAAGCTTGTTTGCTTCTTTCCCCGTCATTCAGTTTCCAAAACCTCACCATTTTTAATACTTTATCCTTCCATTTCTTACAAAATTGTCATGAACATTGAACATGAAATTAGCTATTGTGACAATGCAACATAAGCCTAACTTACTGCGTGTACCTGAACTGACGGGTATGAAATTGCCATTGGTGCAGAACGAACGTAACTTCAGCTGCGTTTGACTCGCTCAGGAAGGTCTCTGTCCCGTTGAGGTGTGAGCAGAGAGGCCGGTGGTTAACTGTTGCTTTTCGTCCTGTGGTGGTACAGCCGAGCAGTCCTCTAGTGTGTCTCAGGCTTTGTGGCTTCTTGTCTCTGAGTGAAGTGTGATGGGACTTCATTTACCTTCGGATAAGCATCGTTAGAAAACAGAAAGGGATAGCTGTTTATTGAACCGTATCACTCTCTAACCAAGAGCCTAGCATGGTTTTCCTATTATGTAGCCTATTTCATGTAGCGTATTTTTAATTTAGAGGGTTAACTTTATCAGAAGATACAGGAGGTCTCTTGCCAGCTATGGGCATCAGCTGGCTTGGGTTTCTGCAGGACGCAGGGATCCTTACAGGTTTTTCCGAAGCACAACGCAACTGGCAGTGCATCATCACTCCTCAGCCCCGAATACGCAGGCTAACTGCTCCATATGGAACGCAAATCTGATTTAAGGTAAAATCTCTGAAGTTAGTTAGAAACTAACTTGTTTAAAAAAAAAAAAAACCCACATGGAACAACTGAGTGGTAAATCATGTTTTAGTTTAATTACAACACATTGTTGATTAGAAAGTTGGTGTAAGTTTAAGTGCATATTGCACTGTTGAATCATGTGAAATGTAAATACTTTAAATCTGCATATTTTGGAGTATGTTGTCACAAATAGTCTTTGTATAACTATTTTATAAAGGCTGAAAATATAACTTTGTAAAATAATCCCGAGTGAGGACGCAAGCCTTATTTTAAATACTTCTGCTCCTCTGCTTCTAGATGAATGGAAGTAATGTACATAAAATAAAGATTTTATTTTAGACTGCAGTGGAAGTGGTGCATGTAATGTGTTCTTAGCTCTATATACTTCGCCTGTTTTATTACAGGAGGCCACTACTTGTGTTTCCTTTGGCTGCTTTTAATGCATGATCTGAAACAAAAATCTTTGGCCAACAAGTACTTTGTTGGCAGTAGCTGCATGTGGCATTTGTATCTCGCATTCCGTAACTGGAACCTCAGTGGTTTATTGTGTGCATGCCATGCAGAGCTTCGAACTTTTCTGCTCAAAGTTCTGAGAACTTGTTAGTTCTGTGAAACGAGGGTTAAGAAATAGGCATGAAGAATTAAGGTAGTGGTCGGTGAAGTTCTTCGGTGGTGATCTCCCTGCACACTGAAAGCCGTGCCACCTTGTCCGAAGTAGCATGTTCTACTACACTATTAAGACAGGATTTCAGTATATGCCTGTCCAACCCAAAGCCTGCCGAAACCTAAAGAACATCTTTAGTTTTATCAGCATTGTGCTCGTGCAACAAATTCTAAGTCATAAGAACATCAGCTTATAAAGCAGCTGGAAGTGTTAGGCCTCTGGCAGAGCACCATCTCGTTCCACTTCAGAAGTGCCTTGGCACAGAGCTGTGTCGTTGCAGAACTCGGCGTGTTCATCTGCGTTGGCCTTACTGCTGTTGTTACGCGAGTCCTAGAGGGTCCATCCCAGGACTCTGCGGTTCCCTCGGGAGGGCAGAGGTGACCACGGTTCATCTTCTAAGGACCTGGCTTCTGCCAGAGTAATCCTGCTCAGCAGTACAGCAGGGAGGCAGCTGTCTCTCCCATTAGCAGCATGAGGAATGAAGAAAGTCATCGGTCCCCAAGAATTAGTGTCTGTTACAAAGTAAGGTATTGTAGCTGTTCAGGAAAGCCACAGCTTGTCACCAAATTGTAACTTGGGCAGTAATGCTTCTCCGGTGTCAGCTCTCTACTTCTGTCCTTGGCAAAAGCCATCTACTCGCAGTCCTCGTGTGAGGGGCGAGGATCCTCACTGTTTACATTGCAGGGGGGGAACAGCTAGTAGAAGACAACACCAGTTACGCCCGAGGCAAGCAAATTTAATTTTCAACGTGCTTACCTTGTTCACATCTTCTGTCTTTCTCTTGTATATCACATCCAAGAAATAATCGCCACTGTTCCAGCAATAACTGCTGGCAAGTGTGATGTTAAAAGAAAATGATCAGACAGGACACATTTCCTGTGCAGTGCCGCAGAATGTTTATTAAATATTATTTGTATAGGTACAAACACTTCAAAATAAAATTGGTATACCTCTGAGGTGTGACCTGCATAGAATTTTAGTTTCATTTCCTTTAGATCTGATACGTATTTTATCAGAACACTTGAAAGCTACACCTTAAGGAACAAATTCTTACTGGATACAGAAGTTCACAGAATAATGCAGCATGGTTTTCCAGTCAGCAGCGAGGTGAAGTACTGCCTGACAAAGCGCCAAAACTTGCATGGAAAACTTCCGTACTTTTTTTGCTGATAAAAAAATCGGTTTTGTTTTAAAACTGTTTTTCCATTACACCTGGTAACAGCACTAGTTATAGGAAAACAATGTTTTAAAAAGAGCAAAAAAAAACCAACCCCGGTTAGTAGTAATGTAGTAACACTGATCAATAATATTTTGTATCCTCAAAACACAATGGGACGCAGAGAATCCTCTGTCATTTCCTCAAGTTTCTGATCTGAGGAGTAAGTCTTCTACACTTCACCTGTTTGTTCTTGACTAAAATTAATGCTTCCAAACATTCGGTTTTGCTGTTCCCAGCATTCTTATCTTGTTCTCCTAATTAAAACCTCATGCATCAAACTACTTCACACAATTCTTTTCCTCCATTTTTGTTTTTTTCTATTGATTTGCTGTCTGCTAAACTTTCTGTTCTTGTTTGTTCTGTAGCAACGTAAATAAAAATGCATTGACAAGTACACGGATAGCTACCATCTGCCGTCTCACTTCACAGCTCTGTGAGGTAGGAAAGTTAGTATCGCCTTAGGGAGCGGAGAAACTGAGGCGACAGACTGAGATTCTCGTCACTCATCTCCATGCCACTGGTGAAAAACAGGATTCCGTAGTTTCTCAGTCTTAAATTCTGCCATTTATGCTTTTTAAATGAAACTACCCTTAATTATTACTTATACTGATTCATAAAGGTAACGTAAGACGTTGTTAAATATTACAGTCCCTTCTTACCAAAATACTAAGGCCAGTAAGTTCTTTTAACTAGAATAACAGCTCTTCAAAATACCCTCACTGTGTTGTGTGTCCGTATTACTAAGGTCCTTTCAAGTCAGTTTACATAATAAAGTGCTTAATGGTCACCTGAATTCAGAAGTTACACAGACTCCTTCAGAGAAGTCAGCTGCAGATACAAGCAGCTTACATCCATAAAGGCCATATCTCTTTTTTGCTGCAGTCATCAAGAATTTCGCTATTATTATCAAGACCTGACTGCTAAAGCATAGAACTGACTAGTGCAAATGCTTAGGCACAGTTTCGATGAAAACGCATACATTCATTTGCTGTGCAGAGGCAATACAGTGGCATATAGCTTGCTCCATCAGCAGGCATTCCAGAAAGCCTTAAAAAGGCGCATGTCTGCAAAACATCCAGCAAAACAACAAAACAAAGGATCCCATAACCTGTCTTACAGCACAGTACAATTACAAATAATTGCCCAACGTGTTCTTGGAAAGCACACTTAAAACCAACAGAGCTGAAGCACTGGTTCTGTTGGTGCTCCGCCTACCTCCAGAACTCTGCTCCAAGCAGGGTGAAGCTCGAGCAGCGTACCACCTATCAACAGCTAATACGTTGCTTCATCCATGTTGTCGTCGCTGCCAGCACCAAAGTCATCTCCGTCTTCAAAATACGAAGAAATGTAGTCATTTTCCTGAACAACAACAACAACAAAAAAATCACTGTATCTGTGGAGAAGACAATTCATGAATCATAGAATCATAGAATCACGGAATCACAGAATGCTTTGGGTTGGAATGGACCTTCAGAGGCCTTCTAGTTCCAACCCCCGCGCAGCGAGCAGGGACACCGCTAACTAGATCAGGGTGCTCAGAGCCCTGTCCAACCTGGCCTAGAACGTTTCCAGGGATGGGGCCTCCACTACCTCTCTGGGCAACATGTGCCAGGGTTTCCCCACCCTCAACCACCCTCATGGTATAAAACTTCTTCCTTATATCCAGCCTAAATCTGCCCTCTCTTAGTTTCAATCCATTGCTCCTTGTCCTATATGAAAGAAACATACTTTAAACTTCATTTGAGCACGCACATTTTGAAACAGTAATAGGAGTTTTTTCTTTCCTTATTTCTTGGGAAAGAAGAGGAAAATATTGTAATGAAGTTCTGATACCTATGGATGAAGAGGCATCGCTGTTTTTGAAAATGAATAACTGTATGTGTTCATTGTGACAAGATTCCTGCTTGCAAGATCTTTTCTCAAATCTCTTCAGGAGTAACAAATCTAAAACACTAACTTAAATGGCTACAACACAATGTGGTGCAACAAAGAAAACTGATGTAGTAGTGCCTCTCCCTGCAACTCTCCCTCAGCGTCAGAGGCACTACGGACATTTCTTTGGCTGACACCCAACACAGTACTCCATGAGTGGGATCTGCCTGTGTAAAGAGGAAAATTAACGTTATACCTCTTCATGCTCCTCTTCATCATATTCCTCTGGTTCTTCTGCTTCTTCATCATCTTCACCTTCTTTGTCTTTTGTTTTGTCTTTCTCATCTTCAGATTTTTGTTCTTCATCATCCTTCTTTTCCAACTCCTGTCACAAGGCAGTCTCATTTACAAGGTAATCCCACGTTACAGCAACACCATATCCTCCACACTACCAAAATGTTACAGCAACACAACTAGGGTAACAACCCTGTCCAAATGTTTCTTGTCAATATTTAAAGCAACATGATGTGAAGCACTTCATAAGGACTTCTTTGATCGAGCATTAGCCACTGGACTTGAACTCTAAAAAAGTATGTCTTCTGTAATAAATTGAGATGACGATTTCCCTTTACCACCCACTGTTACAATAGTTGACAGTAGGAGGCCATGTCATACTTGACAAAACAATACCACGTGCTGTACATAACAATGTATCTGCACCGAACAACTGATGGATCACCAAGAGCAAAAATCCAAGGATTATTCACCTTTAAGCTTCCCATTCCCACGTGGTGGGTAGTCGCCTCCAAAACCGAGGTCACTTTCCTCCTAAGTTTCTCTTTCTGTGTGTTTCTTCCCTCTCAATTTATTAAATTGTGTCATTTCCAGCATCAGCAGACTGCTGAAACAGCAACGGATTTAAAAACTCTGGCACCAATTCCTCCTTCAATAAGCTCTAATAGTAGCTCTGCTATTCACAATTAGGCTACATCGCTACCCAGTGAAGAAGAACTGGTCGTTGTGTTCAAACAGGAGCAAAGAAAACAGTTTCCCTGCAGCCAGGCTCTGTCCTTGTCCTCTCCCTTGTGCTACCGCACTGCAGAACAGTTTTCTGTCAGAGTAACAAGACAAGGCCAGAAAAAGGCGGCTGCTGTCATTCCATCTGTACCAAAAAACATACTAAAGGTTTCCTTTTCCTTCAGCAGTTTCTACTGTACAAGTTAGAAAGAGTATGCACATCTTACCTCAATTTTTTTCAACACGTCCAGATTACTTTTAGTATCAGAGCTTCTTATCTTTTTTGGTTTTGGACCTGCTGAAATAAAATACATCACGATTATTTTTTTTAATATGGAAGAAGAGAAATTCTTTTCTTTTACTTGCCCTTAAGAACTTACATCTTCAGAATGCCATGGAAATCCCACACCGTCTGTATTAAAATTACCTTAGGCTTTGAGCTACATCATTCATGGAGGTGTAAATGCCCTGCTTACGTAAGTGATGCCTGCAGGGCCAGTCTGAAATTCACTTCGAACAGACAGGTGACCAAAGGTTTGGCCAAAGTATGGCATTCAGCTTCACAAAATACTTTTCACAATAGGTTAAGAAACTAGAACAGAATCTCAATTGTTATTTTTTATTGTCTTGAAAACATAAAAACTCACCGATCTTACTAACTTATGCCACACATTAATGACAGCTGGGTGCTTCAGGTAGATAGATAGATAGAGAGACAGATAGATAGACAGATATAGATAGACAGACAGATAGATAGACAGATATAGATAGAAAGATAGGTCGAGGAAGGCAGACAGCAGAGTTCATTAGCTCCAGCACAGTAGGCATGGTTACTCCAGCTAGATGGCTTCTGCACCACAGTTGGCTCTCATGTAATGAGTCCACAGTGCGTATTTTCAGCTAGTCTTTGATACATTAACATATTACCAAGTTACTCCCTACAATCCAACCTCATTATGCTACTTAAGTATATGGCAGAGCGAAGGTCAAAATTAGCATTCCATATACCCATATACCTGAATTGCAGCACCCTAAACTAGGGTTGCCCCAGTTCCACCTAAGTTTGACTGGTAGATGACGAGAAACAAGGAGCTCCCTACCCAGAGAAGGTACAGCCTCTCCAGAGCTCTGCGAGACGTGCTGTTCCCACAACGTAACTTGTCTTTGGGCTCTCCTGCTGTATTCAGCACCATCACATAAAATTTACAACATTGGGCTGTACCTAACACCGATTAGCTCTTCTCACAGGGTAAAACTGTCTGTGTAAAGTGCCGTACTGGTGTAGCTACACCACTTCTGATGGGCAAGGTAGCTTCAGACAAGCTAGCTTAATTAACTTGCACCTTTTTTACGCTAGGCTGCACTCAGTGGTATTAGAAATAAAAACATTGTGCATTGATGGAGCAGATATCCTTTCTGGAGCAGACAGTAACCCAATGCAGCTATGTATTTTACGTGGCCTAACACTTCAGGAAGCAGAACACCAACAAGACAACTGTACTTTCTCAATCCATTTGTCATAAGTAACACTCAGTTCATTTCAGTGTTTTGCCTAGGAAGACAAAAGCACTGCATGGAGCTGAGGGGAGTCCAGCTGCTCTGCAGTAACATACGAACAACATCAAAGCAAACACATCCAGAATGAAGTAGGCTTTTAAGGAAGGCAAGTGGAAAGTGCAGTTCAAAATTAGCATTTCTGCACAACCCCCTGCAGGCTTTTAGACATAATGCCTCTAGAACAAACAGCCTGGAAATGAAAACAGACAATGCAAGATCTTCCCTCAAATGCTGGGCGTCTCTGGGGCTTATCATAAAACTACAGACACTGACCCATCGTCAGCAGAACTTCAAGAAAATAGCTCCTTATGTTCATGGAGCTTAGAGTGCAATGGAATATTGCCTAATCTTTCCAAATATCTGTTCTCGCAGTGTTTGCACTTAAATCCATACATCTGATTGCTATATACATACACATATAGCTGGCCTGCAAGAGCCCTCAGATGATTAATCCTCCAAAATGTGCAGTCTTGACTTTTTTTTTTTTTTTTTTTTCTTTTTGTCAGGCACTGCTGGTATCTAGTATAGTGCAGTCCACAGCCCAGGGTTATTTGTGGGAGAGATGTGGAATTACAAGTCTCATCAGGAGCAGCTGAGGGAGCTGGTGCTGTTCAGCCTGGAGGAGGCTGAGGGGGGACCTTCTCGCTTTCTACAACTACCTGACAGGAGGGTGTAGTGAGATGGGTGTTAGTCTCTTCTCCCAGGTAACCAGCAATAGGACGAGAGGCAATGGCCTGAAGTTGCAGCAGGGGAGGTTTAGATTGGATATTAAGAAAAATTTTGTTACTGAAAGAGTGGTCAGGCAATGGGACCGGCTGCCCAGGGCAGTGGTGGAGTCTCCGTCCCTGGAGGTATTTAAAAAATGTGTAGATGTGGCACTTCGGGGCATGGTTTAGCAGGCACGGTGGTGTTGGGTTGATGGTTGATCATCACTTGATGATCTGAGGGGTCTTTTACAACCTCAATGATTCTATGATTCTATGAATTCTACCTGAAGTGTTGTCATTAAAAACGCAGGTGGTCAGGTCTTTGGTTAAAACATTTAGGGAAACCAGAAAGGGGGAGGAGAAGGTGTGTAAAAATGTGTAAATGAAAAAAAAATGAAGCCGTGCCTGTACACGTAACTGTGTCGTGATCCAAAAACCGCTCCTGCAATCGATGAAGGTAGAAGGGCAGGAAGCCTGTCTGAATTTCGGTGCAGATTCTCGTCAGTCCCTCACCTTTTTTACACCCGATTATAAAGTGTCACCTGAGATGGCTGTCCTCAAAATACAGCAAGGATGCATACCAGAATGGCTAATGTGTCATTGATCAGCTTTTTACAAACCTCCTGAGACATACGACTTTTGTATGGCCTCTGTATCATCAGGATTCCCCAAAACACCCTAAAACCACCTGATTTTTGCTTTTAGAAGAACCTATTTTTTTTTTTCCAATCAAATTCTGATGATCAGCTGATCTTTGCCATTACAACTATGCAAGAAAATGTACTTTTAAGAGCAAATAGAGAAATTGGCACAAAAGAAAGATGGAAAATCCCCCACAGTGAACAGTGATTCTCTCTTTGTTCATAACAATCACAACATCATTGTAACAAGGAATAATAAATCGGCATTTAAGATTTCATTGGATCTTGTGGAGCTAATTATTGCGTATAGGCTTATAAAAGCAAACGCAGTTTCTTCCAACAAAAACAAAAAGTAGGTACTGGTTTTATCTTTCCATATTTTGCAAATAAGTACTTAATTTTCAGTTGAATCTTGCAGTCTACCTTTAGTACCATGCTTCTCAATGATACTCTTAAAAGGAACAAAGCTTCCAGCTGAGCCAGTCTCCATGACTACTGCACATTCCCTTTTCTTTTTCTGTTTTATCTTTGAACTGAAAAATGACACATGAAGGAGTTGGACAAAGAGAACAAGAAAGTAAACAATTATATGTAACAGGCAGCTAGATAGGAGACCAAGTGTTATTTCACATCAACAGAGCAACAGACTTCTACAGAGAAGTTAAAATAAGAGTCATGCATACTAAAAAACACTTTGAAAAACAAATACACATATGATGCTGTGCAATAAAAAAGTTTTTTTCCTGTAAGAACAACCAATACCAGCTCCAACTGCTGTTGAAGGATCTGGTTCACAATTCTGCAGAAGAAAGCTGAAAATAAACAAAAAAAGTAAAACCAGGGAAAATAGAAAATAACCTACATTAAATCTCATACAAAAAGCTAAAAAAACCCCACAAAAGTCAAACAAATCATAAACAAGATAACTGAGAAACCCAAAATATAAAGGAAATCTGAACAGCCAGCTATTCATTGAATAAAGGAAGCATGAGTGTTGTCTAGAGGTATAACCTTTCAAAACAAAACGTTTTCACTGTTACGTATCTCATATATTAATATGGTACATCAATATGAAAGACAGGAAAGGGAGATAAATCTGTTCCAGTAAGTTAAAACATCTTACAGAAGCAAAGCAAAAACCACAAGGCACACCAGTAACTTCTTTAGAAAAAAAATCTGCCAAAAGCCCCGATTATTCAGACTAATTAACATTTCTACCATTTTTTTCCCCCTAACCAACTTCACTATGTCTTCTATCCCTCAACTAGTGTGTACTAAATGCTTCTTATAATATACCTTTTTTTGTCTTTTTCTTTGGCTTCATCTCTCCTGGGAGTCTTCTCCAATCTGTACAGAAAACAGCTTTTATACGAATGATGATTTCAGTAGTGATCCTCCCCCATCACTCACCATGGAAAAGCAGGGGTCCCTGATGTGCTTGCTCCTATTTCCATGCATGCCTAAGGGCTGTAGCACGCAACACTTTCAATGAATTCTAGCTGTACTTTTAAATTGAGGAACTAGGTTGAGGACTGGCATTTCACCCACTTAATGACAACTGGCATCTGCCCCAAAGAGATAAAGTTCAGCCCTTCCGGCGGCCCACATGCCCTTCAATTTACATTATATAATTAAGTTTGCAGTAGTGAGCTATACAGATACGGTTGTGGAAGTTTACTGTTACAAAACTCGGATGACTGTGACTGAGACATCAGGTTGGGTTATTTTTAGTAACATCAATGGTTGCTCCCAGTTCAGAACTGGGATCTGCATGGTGAGTAAGTGTGGGAAACCATGTAACTTGAGACAGAACAGCACTGTCTCATGACCCTGAAGGATCAGCGTGTCCTGCACCTCCCTTCTCTGTTCTCAGGACATCAGCTGTTTTCACACATCCAGCTGCAAAAGATCCTGGAAAACAGCAACCGTGAACTGGTATTCACAAAGCCACGAATCCAAAGCTGGCTGGCTCTAGTAAATATTGTATTAGTATATAAGGTTTTCACTTCAGCAATAAAATTATTCTGATCGAGCACAAGACTGGGGTCCGTGAAATCACTCATCACAAGTAAGGAAAAAGGAAAGTCAGAGTGAGAGCTAAGCTTGCATTTTTACTGCAAATCAGCTGTTTTAGCTGAGCAAATAAATAAAATCAGATTTAAAACAGAATTTTTCTCTTTTTTTTTTTGGGGGGGAAGCTAAAACAATACTTTGCCTTGATCTGAAAACTTCAAGACGGCATAACTCTCAGCAAGGAACACATGACGTGGTAAGGATCTGCATACTTTTTTGTTGCTTGAAAAATAATGAATCAAACATTTCAAAGAGCAGAACATTTCACAAGTTCATAAAGAATTAGCCTTTGATAATCTCAGATATTACCTGGCGTCCATGCTGCATGCTCCTTTTCACTGTCCTGGTACTTTTTACTGTACCTCTCAATTGCTATAGAGAAGGATACAAAGAGTTATTGAATTCAATTAACTAACAACACAATTCAGACACTGTCCTTGATATTTTGCTGTTGCTGAACACTTAAACAGTTTAATGTCTCTACTTTGAGCAGTTCTCATGATAATTCACAGAACTAATCACATGCTAAGTCCTTGCAAGACCTGGATTTTATAGCCCCCAAAACAGGCAAAATCCCTCAAATATTGCTTTGCATTTTTGATGTATATGCTTTCCATCAAACACCACCACCCCACCACCCCCCCTCCAAAATAAAAAAAAGCATTCAAAATTGTTATAATTTATACTTTCATCCTTGGAAAGCATGAAAACATAAAATACAGATATAGTCAGGGAAATGAGGTTGAAACATCAAATGAATGCCAACTCTTCTCTCCTCTTCAACACTTTGACGGTCAAACCTTTGCTATAAAACCAGTCAGTGACATTGATCACCACTGTGCTAATCATAAAGAATATCCAGAATTCACAGCTCTCAGAAGGCCGCGTCTCAGGCTGATCACGATCAACTCCCAAGCCTTTCAGTACTTCTGCAATGGCACAGCTCCGCAGCATAACAGAAGTGTGTCTTAAACAGCAGCAACACATTTTAGTCCACTTAACTTCTTTCCAGGCACAAGAACTAAACTGAGACATGCACTGTAAATAATACAGTAGTTACACTGTATAAGTACATCCATTTATACTACTGCAAAACAACTTTCTTGTACAATCTCTAATGACAAAAGCAATATCAAAACTGCAGTATTTTTAAATCAGACCCATTTTTTCTTACCAAATTACCATGTCCAACTGCAAAATCCACTTAATGCAAAATTACTGATTCTGACTGCAGTAATAACTCATTACTCAAACAGGCATAATTTTTGTGCGTATTGTACAAAAAATGGTAACAAAGATAGACTCTGACCTTTACAGTCAAAGGCTTCTAACATACTCACCAGAGAAAAGGAAGGGAGAAGGAAGACATCAGAAATGAAGCTCAGTTTTAAACTCAGTTACAGTGAGGGCAAGCAGAAGACCTACCCAACGCTGTGCAACAAAGACCGTGCATTTAAAATGACAGTGTCTCAAGGGGCATTTAATGAAGGTGGCCTTCACAGATGCTGTAGGAAACTGTCAGCATAGAGAGGGAAAGAAACCAGCAGTTTTGATTTTGGCTCGTGGCTTTTTAGTGAAGAACTAATTGCTGATGCCATCAGTAAAAAAATACGTCTGACTGACTCCTGCCACTCACAGCTAATGAATAAATTCCAGACCACTGCCAAGGCGACAGTCACCCAGCCACAGCAGATACACCTACAGGAAAAATATGAATGATTCGTAGCTTACAAAGTGAGGAAAACAGTGAACTTACTATAGAATACCCCTGCTACTCACTCAAAATGAGTGTTGAAGTTCATGATGAAAATCTATTCCACATGGCACACTAACGCACCCAAAATTGCCAGGTAGTATTAGACTTTCATTTACTACCTGAATAATGAAAGAAAGATGGATAGCTGTGTCCTAACCAGTGTTTCCCTTCTCACACTTCAAAGGGCCATTTGGCTCACAGATGATGTTCTGAGGGTTGAAAACAACCCATTTGCTCTCGTAGCAAAGCCAATTCAGGAAGTTCCTGCCCACAGTCCCCCTCCTGCCTCTCAGTCCTATCAGACGTTCTGATAAAATAGAAGGGAGCAAAGGGCTGTAAGGCAGCTAACAGAAAAGATGAGTTAAAAATAACCTCCCCTGGGGGAAAAAAAGTGATTTTCTTAAAGCTAGGCCACTTCTGCCACATAATGCAGTCCCAGAGACAACTGCATACTGCCACTGAGATGAAAGCAAGCTTTTTAAGCTGCAGGCTACCGCTGATGTAATTATACCCCACCCCTCAGATGAGATATTTTTGTACAACTAAAGGTTCGGTAAAAAGTTACCTCAGCTTACCAACTTACCCTCGGGGAGATGATGATAACATTTGAAGCATCAGTTGAGTCTACCAAGTGGCTGCCTACCTGCTTTCCCTGCAACTGCCAGTTTTTTGTAGAAAAACGGTCTTCAAAGACTGCAGAGCGCTGCTCCATTTTAAACAGCACTTTAGTACAAGAACAAGTGGACAACCAATAAGCTATGTTAGTCGGTGTTACATTCAAAGCCTAATAAAAAAAAAAAATTGCACGCGGTCTCAAAAAGCCTCTAGAATTCATTACTACACCATGAACAAAAACTACCAAAAATTCAGAGGGGACTGGACTGTGTACCTGTATCGTATCGACATCGTGAATATTCAGTCAGAAAATATTCTGATGGTTTTGGGGTGGAAATTAAACCTCACATTTTGGAGATCAAGTAGGCTCTCATCATTCAAAATCAGCACACGATAGCAAGGAAAAGATTATCCAGCGTTTGGCCGCTTTGGTTTTCTTAAATATTTCTATGAAGCTTTTTAGTGACTGCCTGTTCCACTGACTGAGCCTAGGGTCTGACACACACAGCACTTCCTAATATGTTGTGTTTCCTATTTTCCTGTAGCAGCACTTGCCGTTCATACCGCTCAGAACAAGCACTCAGGAGGATGAAGGAACTAGGCAAACATCACAGATGAAAAGAAGCACTGCTCACAACAATAAACTCCACAGCAAGGTAAACAGACATTAAAGTCTTCCTACCCTGGTCCGCTTCCTACCCTGGTCCGCTTTCCTTCTTCCCCATTAGCTCAATCTTCTGACCAGGAAGCTTGGATTTTAACACTGTAATGATGTATGACTGGATGTCAAGTATATCAGAGCATTTATTGTTATCAAACAATAACAATGCAGTTAATTCTTAATTACGCATAAGCAAAAGACATTCCTGGGTCAAGCAGAGTAAGAACAAGCTTTGGCTTCTAACCCAGCTCTGCTTTTGGTGCAAACCTCAGTAAATCACTTATCCTCATCTCAATCTTCGCATTTCAGGTGACTTGCCAACAGCGCTTATCGATCTTTCCGGAATGGACTCAGGGAGAAGAAAATGTGTACCTTTTAGAATGTCCAGCTATTAAATACAACACTGATTGTTTTAAGTATGTCTTTACACAATTAAAACGGAAGCTGAATTTCAACACTAGTATTTACTACCTATTTCTTTGGTCCAGTGCAATTTTGTTAGGGTATTTTACGATGCAGAAAACCCCATTTCACTTGTTTTGGTTAGCATATAATTGAAAAGACTGCCTATAGTTGGTCTAAATGTTTCTCACTCTATATCAAATGGAATACGTTTGATAGTTCTCTTTTTCACACAGGAGTTGGTTTCCAGTTACAGCACTTGTAGGTGTGACCTGCAATTTCAACAAGTATAAAAGCAGAAAAATTCCTTATTACGTTAAGCTGCCAATTTTTATTCCTCATTATCAGTACAAAATACATCTTCAACACATGTACTTCATGACATCATCCTTCACAGAACAGTAACTACTGAACATATAAATAAAAACAAAAAGCACACAAACAAACCTTCACGATCTTCTTCTACTGCCAAAAAATAAGGCATTTTTTTCATAGTTCCTCTAAGATCTTGTTTTAAGGCCAACATGTAATCTTCATCTTCTCCTGTTTTCAGAGGCACTGGTTTATTGTCTGTACTCTGTACAAATTACGTTTATTATTCATAAGGTCTTAATATCCATCAAATATACAGGAACACTAACAAGAGCTACAATAAACACAGCTAATCACAGACAAGTGCAACTATGCATTACACTACTTCACAAGCATACTTTATTGCATTCTGACATGCATAACTGTTTACAACTAAATTTATACCTTTTATGGCTTCACTCTAACTTTCTGCAAAAATCTATCAAGAAATTGAGAAAAAAAAAAGTACTAAAACTGTGAAACAGTCATTCATAGTCATGCTAATCTCTTAATTGCCAAAAGCACTTTTTCAGACCAGCCTAACTTGGTTGGAAACCATTGCTTGTCTCTTCAGTCAGAGTAGCGCTGGCCTTAACCTCTTCTAAAACAGTGTTTAAAAGCAGTGTTTAAACTACATTAAGTATGATTACTCTGAACAACAGGGACACCTTTTCCATGATGACTGTCATGGAAACGGGTTGTGTTCTCATACATCCAGGTAGCACACAGGCCCTCACACAATTCAGTTTCTGTCAGCTGAATTTAAATGAATAGTTAAGGTTTGGATTTGGGGGGAGGGAGGAGCGCGTTTTTTGAACCATGAATCTTGAGATTGGGAAAAATAAGTAAGTGAAATCAGTTTTAAAAACAAACAGAACACAAGAGCCAGACACAGAATTACAGAATGAAGGTTTTCTCTCAAAGGACAGACGGTGCACAGTCAACACCTGAGCGGGAGGCTGCACAGCGCAAAGTGCTGTCACAAGTCCCAGAGCTGGATCATGAAAGGAGTTTACTGCTTCCAGCTGTATCTGCTAGCTGGCCAACACTTTAAATCACTAATGTTGCTGATGGTAAGCTGATGCTCCTTAATTGGGTTTCTTAATTACATTTACAGGAAATTCGTAAGAACTCAGAATACATCTATTAGAAATATGCAATAGCAACAATTCACTGCTTAAAATAGTTCCACCGTAAGCTGTAAAATACTTTTGGTCACTGCCCAATCATTAAATGTAACTCTTGACATTTTTATCGATCCTAGTTATGCCACTCGGTTAACTTTGGTTTTTTTTGAATGGCACTAGATTTTCCAGGACAAGTTTAACTTAAGTTCTGAAGCTTTGTTCACAGAAGGAAGAAAGCATCTTTAACTTCTCCAGGGTATGCATTAGATATACTGGTGGTAGTAATTCTCCTACGAGGCTGATCCACTGCTGAGTGTAACTGCAGAAGCTGCAGTGCACACAGAATTTAGTCTCCTCGTGCTATCGAGCAGACTGCAACATTCACTTTAGGAACAGTTACAGATGGCTTAGTATCAAATCCTACAGCTTTGTTGTACAGGTGGACCAAGACGATATATAACATCTGATTCAGTAAGTCAAAACCTTGGGTGAAATAACTATTCAGAGAAATCTCAGCATAGCAGCAATCACATGCCAAAACTGCAAGTTCTCTATCATAACGTGAGATTGAGAAAAACTTCATGCACCTTGATCAAACCCTGACATAAATGGGAAGTTCTCCTGTATAAAACTTTAACATTGTAAGACTACTTTTCTGCCTCAGAATTGTCCATGCTTCCTTGAACAGCAAAACTTGGTCAGAAAATGCTCTTTCTTCCCCTTTGATTTTCAAATACATCCCAAATGCCAAATCTCAATTAAGTTTCCTTAATTACATAAAATATCCTTTCCAAATTATTTTCAGATGCTGGCTACTGAGTTACAAGACAATCATCCAAAATCTTTTATGTTTCCACCAACAGTAAATTTCTAAAATCAACAAATCCATTCACAGCCTCAAACACTACTGTAACTTCAATTAAATTCAGACACCCAGTGTTTCTGTTACTGTAACGTCCAGAAAACCAAATCATGAAGAGGACTTTACCGATGAACATCTTGCAAGCAATCTAGTTAAATATGGGATACAACAGGTAGCAAAGTGATAGGAAGTAATAATAAGAAAAACAATGATGTACATTAAATACTTCAAAACTGACCTAAGTGCTTAGGGTTGTTCATGTATTTCACAAACATGAGAGTGAACACACTTTACCTGAACACAGAGTGTGCTCTGAGACGCTGTACTTACGGGGAACGGCGGTGGAGGCTTACACGCGACGTCGGGTAGGGCTGCACCTTTAGAAAAGCCAATGGCCTCAATGTTGAAGGTAAACGCAGCGCGCCCTCTTCCTCTGCCTGACCCAGCCATCCGGAGTTACTGAAAATATTACTGATTTTTAGAGATTTATTTTTGTTACATGTATCAAATGCATGCATGTATTACCTATAAAATCAATATCTAACAAAGATTACAGTAATTTTAAAACCACTTCTTTTCCAAAGATCATTTTGAATAGCAATCAATTTTTAATACCCAGCTCAGCTTCTTCTACATACTATAGGTTTGGTACCCACCTAAAATCAACTCCATTCCCTCATTTCTGCTGGCCACCTCTGCATGCCTGAAATTACCTGCTAGCCTAGGAATTTTAGGCTTTCTTCTTCTAAACCTCAGATGCACTGACTTGAGTTCAATCAGAGCAGGAGAACCAGAAACAAGGGGGGGAAAAAAAAAAAAAAAAGAAAATAAAAAAAGAAGTTCAAGGACCCTGAACTTTCTGTGAATACATTTTGCAGTTTCCCAACTTTTCTCCAAGAAATAGTTTGCATTTGTCATTCATGGCTTCTTTGTCCTTCAGATTATTCTTCTTCCTTTATCTTTGTAACCAGTTTTAGGTACTGATAGAGAGCCAGAAGCAAAGAGGTTCCAGGTAAAAGCGTCAAAGGACTCCAGCGTGTCTGGAAGCTAACCACTGATAAAAGGAGGTCGCTTCTAACTAAAATATTTCACTAAGGATGTAAAAGAAAATAGCCTACAAAACTACATTTACAGTCACATCTCACCACATCCACTGTTACGCCAGTCTTCATCTCAGGACTGTATGACCCATGGGTGGGCAAGCAAAGCAAAATGCAAGAAACATGTTTTTTTGCAGGGAAGATATGAAGAAATGGGACCCAAGCGAAGCCCCACCGATGCAATGTGCTACTGCTTACTCCCCGAGCTGACGTAAAGATCAATTCAGGGCCCCAATCCAGAAATCCCAGGTGCTGTTTACCATTAAGTGCAAGCCCTGCTCAGTAAGAACATGTCTGTTCCAGACTCACTGCTGTACCTGTATCATCACAATTATTCCCACCAGCTGTGTGCAGGTAAGGCAGCGAGTTGAAACAGGATACAAGAAAGAGCACAACACCTACAGCTTCTGATACACTCAGCTAAAGTAATAAGGAATCCAGGAGGGAATTATGATTAGGAGCAAAGAAATGCACACTGAAGATTAAGATCCTTTAAGATTATCCAAATGGAAGCAGCTGGCTTTTTATTAAGTGCTAGTGAGAAAGAGGCAGATGCAAGTATATGCTTACTTACTACTTTCAACAGGAGTAAGCTCTGCTTGGATAAAACAAAATCACATTATGTATTTCCACATCACTCAGCAGCACAGAAAACTGTCTAAAAATAAGCAGAGAGACCTAAATAAATCATTTTAAGAAAGACAACAAAGCAAAAGCTACGCCTGAGCACTTAATTAACTGGAAATAAAAAAAACAAAGAAACAAAAAAAGAAACAGCAAACTCATTTTAAAACAGGATGAAAAGCAAGATGTGAGCCTGGCAGAATGGAGTATGATGAAAGATACAGTAAAGCCCCAAACATGAGCAATTATGTTATCTGGGTGTGAAAAAAAGGGAACCAACAGCAGAAGAAAACTGAAAAAAATTGAGGGAGATGTCCAGCTAGCAAGGAGAGGCACACTGTTTGCATTAAATACAGTGAACAAAAAGGTCTGTTTTTAAAATGTTGCTTTAAAATTAACTCTTGGTAAGATTTTCCTGAAATAGCACATTAGTCGGATGACAAGTAACAAGCTTTAAAACCAGTGGTATTTCAACTCTGCAGTTTTACTGTAACTCGCCTTTCTCTTGGGCGTACTGGCTGAGGAGGTTTCTGTCCACTGACACCAGAAAGCCACCAGAGAAATGGTGAGGGGGAAGCTGAGATGTACAACAAGACACCCAGCGTGAGGAAGCCACAACAAGGAGTGTTTTGTCTGCCATGAGGGACACCTAACTCTCGTGTTCACGGACAGTTTCCTTGTCATTTACTCTACAAACAAGCAGGCAAATTTCAGACTTAACCTTTTAAAATTCCTTCAAAACCACGTCTGCTGTGGCTCGGGGAGGGAGGGAAGGGGGTGCGGGGCGGCGGGGGTGGCGAGACCTCAGACGAGCTCTTGTTATCGTACGTTCTCCTCAGAAGAAAACTCTCAATCGTGTTCGGATCCTTGATTTTCAGAGCCAGGTGCTGTTGGAGGGAAAGCAGATAAAAATGAAAGGGATGAAATTTAAATATCGAGAGTTTGTCATGTTTTTTCACCTGATGCCCCTGTGGTGGAGCAACCCCTCCCCCCGCCCCTCACACCTGGCGATCCCACAACC